TTGAGACTTAGAGGCTTAAGGGCGTGGCGGCTGGAAGACTTAGAGGCTTAGAGGCTTAGAGGCTTAGGAGCGTGCAGGCTGGATGGCTTAATTAGAGGCTTAGAGGCTTAGAGGCGTAGAGGCTTAGGAGCGTGCAGGCTTACGGACCTAGAGGTTTAAAGGCTTTGGGGCGTGCAGGCTCAGTGGCTGAAAGGCTTAGAAGCTTACAGGGCTTAGAGGCTTAGAGGCTTAGGAGCGTGCAGGCTTACAGACCTAGAGGTTTAAAGGCTTTGGGGCGTGCAGGCTCAGCGGCTGAAAGGCTTAGAAGCTGACAGGCTTGGAGACTTAGAGGCTTAGGGGCGTGGCGGCTGGAAGACTTAGAGGCTTAGAGGCTGAGAGGCTTAGGAGCGTGCAGGCTTACGGACCTAGAGGTTTAAAGGCTTTGGGGCGTGCAGGCTCAGCGGCTGAAAGGCTTAGAAGCTGACAGGCTTGGAGACTTAGAGGCTTAGGGGCGTGGCGGCTGGAAGACTTAGAGGCTTAGAGGCTTAGAGGCTTAGAGGCTTAGGAGCGTGCAGGCTTACGGACCTAGAGGTTGAAAGGCTTTGGGGCGTGCAGGCTCAGTGGCTGAAAGGCTTAGAAGCTTACAGGGCTTAGAGGCTTAGAGGCTTAGGAGCGTGCAGGCTTACAGATCTAGAGGTTTAAAGGCTTTGGGGCGGCAGGCTCACCTGAAAAGGCTTAGAGAAAGCTGACAGGCTGGAGACTTAGAGGCTTTAGGGCGTGGCGGCTGGAAAGACTTAGAGGCTTGGAGGCTTAGAGGCTTAGGAGCGTGCAGGCTTACAGACCTAGAGGTTTAAAGGCTTTGGGGTGTGCAGGCTCAGCGGCTGAAAGGCTTAGAAGCTGACAGGCTTGGAGACTTAGAGGCTTAGGGGCGTGGCGGCTGGAAGACTTAGACGTGCAGGCTTACGGACCTAGAGGTTTAAAGGCTTTGGGGCGTGCGGCTGAAAGGCTTAGAAGCTGACAGGCTTGGAGACTTAGAGGCTTAGGGGCGGCGGCTGGAAGACTTAGAGGCTTAGAGGCTTAGGAGCGTGGAGGCTGGATGGCTTAATTAGAGGCTTAGAGGCTTAGAGGCTTAGAGGCTTAGGAGCGTGCAGGCTTACGGACCTAGAGGTTGAAAGGCTTTGGGGCGTGCAGGCTCAGTGGCTGAAAGGCTTAGAAGCTTACAGGGCTTAGAGGCTTAGAGGCTTTAGGAGCGTGCAGGCTTACAGACCTAGAGGTTTAAAGGCTTTGGGGCTTAGAAGCTGACAGGCTTGGAGACTTAGAGGCTTAGGGGCGTGGCGGCTGGAAGACTTAGAGGCTTGGAGGCTTAGAGGCTTAGGAGCGCGCAGGCTTACGGACCTAGAGGTTTAAAGGCTTTGGGGCGTGCAGGCTCAGCGGCTGAAAGGCTTAGAAGCTGACAGGCTTGGAGACTTAGAGGCTTAGGGGCGTGGCGGCTGGAAGACTTAGAGGCTTAGAGGCTTAGGAGCGTGGAGGCTGGATGGCTTAGAGGCTTAGAAGCTTAGGCTTAGAGGCTTAGGAGCGTGCAGGCTTACGGACCTAGAGGTTTAAAGGCTTTGGGCGTGCAGGCTCAGGCTGAAATGCTTAGAAGCTTACAGACTTGGAGACTTAGAGGCTTAGGGGCGTGGCGGCTGGAAGACTTACAGGGCTTAGAGGCTTAGAGGTGCTGGAGGGAGATTAGACGGAAATCCGGTGGATTCCCGCTTAAACCTTTAGCACTTGGTCAGCCACTAAGCTCTAAGCGCCTTTGCCTCCAAGCGCCTAAGCCTCTAAGCGCCTAAGCCGCTAAGCGCCGAAGCTGCTAGGCGCTGAGCGCCGAAGTAAGCGCCACAGCCTCTGAGCGCCTAAGCCTCTAAGCGCCTTTGCCTCTAAGCGCCTAAGCCTAAGCCTCTAAGCGCCTAAGCCTCTAGCGCCTTTGCCTCCAAGCGCATAAGCCTCTAAGCGCCTAAGAAAGCTTCTGAGCGCCTAAGCCTCTAAGCGCCTAAGCCTCTAAGCGCCGAAGCCTCTAAGCGCCTAAACCTCTAAGCGCCTAAGCGCTAAGCGCCTATCCCTCTAAGCGCCTAAGCCTCTAGCGCCTAAGCCTCCAAGCGCCTAAGCCTCTAAGCGCCTAAGCCGCTAAGCCGCTAAGCGCCGAAGCTGCTAGGCGCCGAAGCCGCTGAGCGCCTAAGCCTCTAAGCGCCTAAGCCTCTAAGCGCCTAAGCCTCTAAGCGCCTAAGCCTCTAAGCGCCTAAGCGCTAAGCGCCTAAGCCTCTAAGCGCCTAAGCCTCTAGCGCCTTTGCCTCCAAGCGCCTAAGCCTCTAAGCGCCTAAGCCGCTAAGCGCCGAAGCTGCTAGGCGCCGAAGCCTCTAAGCGTTTGGAGGCTTAGAGGCTTAGAGGCTTAGAGGCTTAGAGGCTTAGGGGCTTAGGGGCGTGGAGGCTGGAAGGCTTGGAGGCTTAGAGGCTTAGGGGCGTGGAGGCTGGAAGGCGTGGAGGCTTAGAGGCTTAGAGGCTTGGGAGCGCGCAGGCCTAGAGGCGCAAGGACTGCAAAGGCTTACAAGCTTAGAGGCTTAGAGGCTTAGAGGCTTGTGTGCTTCAAGGGGCTTAGAGGCTTAGAAGCTTAGAAGCGTGTGGCGAATTTCAGACCCCATTTCCCAACGCACTGCTCCAAAGGACCCAACTGAACCCGATCTTAATGCCGCAATGGGCAGATTGAAAGGGGGCATGGCGTTCGACAGGCGAGATTATGCTCGTCAAACGGTTGCATTATATCTTGAGGTTGCACAGCTAAAAACTGAAAAGTTGCGTGATGCCACCACTCCATTCTGTCCCGCTGGATCTCTAGACCCTGCAAATGACGCCTTGGAGGGTGAGCTCGGCTTCGCCGCTTGCCGCGTGTTGATGAAAGCCTTATGGTTGGGCCGTTTGGCACGCCCGGACCTGGTCAAGCCCATTGGCGACCTTGCTTCCTTTGTTCAGAAATGGTCTAGGAACTGCGATAAGCAGCTACATAGGCTTGTCTGCTACATAAACAGCACGGTTAACAGCACGCTAGTTGGCACAGTTCAGGATTCGACTGATGAGTTGCATCTCTCCCTCTCTATGTGGACGCTGATTTCGCTGGAGAACGAGACGCAAAGTCGACGTCCGGAGGCTTCTTGATTTTGAGTGGTCCACATACGCACTTTCCCCTCGCGTGGGTGTCTAAAAGGCAGACCTCGGTCTCCCGATCGACAACCGAGGCGGAAATCGTATCTCTTGCGTACTCCCTGTACCAGGAGGCACTTCCTGCGCTCAGCTTATGGGAGCTGATCTTGGACAGACCATTCCATCTCAAGATCCACGAGGACAATCAGGCGACCATCCTCGTAGCAAGGAAAGGTTTCTCATCCAAGCTACGCTGTGTACAACGCACCCACAAGGTGAACCTCGCTTGCATCGCAGAGCAGCTTGAAAGCGAACATATCTCAATAGAATACGTCCAAACAGACATGCAGTCAGCAGACATCTTCACGAAAGCGCTTCCACCCAACAAGTGGGACCATGCCATCAGGTTGCTCGGCATTCGTGTTGACCTTCCAGAGAAGCTTGAAGACGTTCGTGAAAGTAGATCCGCTAAAGCAGCTGCCTAGTGCGCTGCAGCATGTCCGCAAAATTTCCAAGAGTGTGCAAGTGACTGGGCGATGCTTGAATAACTTGCGTCAGTCGTTGTGATGTAAACTTGACTTCAAGTTGGCGTGGTAATGCGCCCAAGACACTCCCTCAGTGCCGTCAATGAGGGGGGAGTCAATTATCACGATGACATTTATGGCCCAGAGGTTACATGAGTCAGATGACTTGCAACATGTTGTACAAACAATTCAATGCCCAAGCATGACATGATCACATGTCGCTTTGGCTCAAGTGCTGAAAAGAGCGCCTTGCACGCGCCACCCACAAGATTAGGGGAGAGGTCGCAGTCACGGCGGGGTTCGTTCCTTTTAAGGTCCCGGGTTCCCCCGTTGTTGAGAAAACTGTGTTTCCCTCTCCTTTGAGTCATGCCGCCCATAACCAAGTCACCGGAGATGGGAATAAGTTTGCGAACACTTACAGCAGGCATCAACTCGTAGACCGTCCTGACCATAATCAAGCAAAACCAGATGACCTAGAATGACACCGTCGGATTGCCCATGGAGGGCAGACTGGGCTGCAGAATGGCACATGTACTGCCAAGGCCATCCTTCGACATATCCTCTACATGAAAACGTGCTCCGGGTATGATCGAACATTTCCAGATTGCATTTGCATTTGGCTGGGGCAAGACAGACATGCAGCAGCAGTTCAGGAAGAACGAAATGAATGTGTTGAGTGCGGATTAAGTGGAGAAAATAGAGAATGACGCACTGTCCATGATTACCGAATACAAGGTGACAATAGACCATTACCACAAGGTACCTGTTTTTCCGGGATAAGGTGCCCTGGTTTCGGCCTCAACCACCCCCCCACTACTTCTTAGATTTTTTGACATGGATGGAAATGCCCTCCTGAATCCTCATTTTGGTTGACCCCGTCAACCCGCACGCTGCTTTTTAAGTTTGTTCCCCCACCATTTGTTGGTGATGCTGGGGGTGTTGGTCGGACATGCGAGGGGGTGTTGGAAACGATGCTGGGGATGTTGACGCGCTGGTGCAAAATACGTCAATTTCGCGAGAAATGCAGTAAAATACAACTCTTTATTGCCAAGACAAAAAACAGGAAAAAAAAAAACAAAAAAAAACATCCAACAACTAGCGAAAATTCCCGAAATAAATCCGTTCCCTTTGATAGCGCATTGTTCCGAGAGAAACAAGCCACGTGTCTCAAGCGACTTAAGTCAGGTGTTCGTGCTGAGAGAAGAAGTGGCGGAGATGCCTCGCATCCAATCCCTGCTGGATGCTGCTGAGAAGAGGTTGTGGGAGGCTTTGGATGCGTCGGACCCGATTCAGATGGAATATTCGCGGATTCAGCATGGCATTCTTTGCCTTTGAGATTCTCTGAGGCTCAAGGATGACCAGGCCCAGAAGCAACTGGGGAAAATGCGGCACACCTTGCGGGAAGAGAGCCAGGTGCCTTTTGCGCTTTCCCCATTCAGCGTGTCCAGCTTGCAAACTGGTGAGATGGCCCTGACCTTTGCAGCACAAGACGCCAAAGAATCTGAGGACTTGAAAGAGTCGGAAGGGCAATGGGCACGTCAGTATCGCGATCGCATGCAGGACATGCTGCGGTCTGCTCTCGCAGCTGAGACCACGTCCCTCATTTTGGTCCAGTCTGAGGCGATGGCTTTGACCCGGGCTTCGGGCAGAACCGGGAAACGTTTCCAGGTGGAGCGATCCGAGGCTGCAATGTGCTGACCCTTCGTATTCCATGCGACTGGCAAATGAGCGCAAATCAAGGCGTGACCTTGAAGAGCGGAGCTTCAGGGAGGCTGCGGCGCTGCAATCGCTCCGCGAGCAGGAGGCCGGGCACGTCGAGAGGCAAGGCATGGCACGCAAGACTTCGATCTTGGCAATTGCAATTTTGCAATGCTTGCGCAATGCTCATGCAGTGCTTGCGCAATTCTTGCAAGTCTTGGAGTTTTGTCTTGCAAGTGAAGTCTTGTCGGTAAGGAGAGTTTTAAGTCGCGGCGATCCCGGCGGCAGATCCATCATCGGAGGGTTTGAAACGCTGCCATTTAGGCCCGGGCGGCAAGGCGCGTTTCGACCACGGCCAAGAGGGCCCAGGCATCTGAAGGCATTCCGCATTCTTCAAATTTCCTCAATGGATTTCCCGGCATTCCGGGCGGAATTGTAGGCATGGCGATGCCAGCGCAGCCAGTCGATACTTCCGACTTCAGCGAGCCTTGCCATTATGCTCTCTGCGCTCCAATGCTATCATGTCTTTTTGCCCCCGCTCGCACTTCATCCCACTGGACCAAGACTGAGGTGAACGCAAAGCTGTCAGAGACACGCCGAGCAAAGCTCATGGATTTGAAGCGGCGCGAGGATAAATCTTTTCTATTTCATTTTCTTTCCTGCACTTTTGTCTGAGAATCTTGAATTCCATTGCTCCGCCAGGATTTGAAGGATCAGCTCACAGAAAAGTTCAAAAGCCGCTTTGGCCATGGTGCCAGCAAGGCCACACGCAATAGGTTGCCAGGGCATGCGCATGTTTGACAGGAGGCAGATGAGGTCTCTGTTGCGTCCGCTGCAATCAGACAAGAGGATCCTTGGCACTTGAATTGCATATGTTTGGCATTCTGAAAACGTTTGCTCAAAAATGCACATTTGTCTTTTTGCTGCTATTTAAATTTGCGTTTCTTTTCTTTTCGGATTTTCTTTTTCGGAGTTTCGAATTTCTTTTTCCGATTGAGGTGGACAGCTTCGCACGGAAGGCGCCGATCACCGAGAAGAACTTGGACCGCTTGGAGCGGCGCATCCGAAGCCGAGCGCAGGGCAAGGCGTGAAACCCGCGTCGCTTCCGCCCGCGTGCGCGCTTTCCTCTGATTTTGAAATGTCTTTTAATGTAATTTTTAATGTAATTTTAATTTGCATTTTATGTTTTGACTTCTTCTTCAAAGTCTTCCTCTCCTTTCACTTCACTTGCGGAGGTAGCAGCTGCCTATTGAGAGTAAGGTGAGAGTGCAGTCGATGTCAGGCAAGTGTGGCAGGCCTTTTGCTGAACTTGGCGGAGTGTCTCAAATGTGGGCCCCCTAAAATGGTGGTCCCCGAAAATTGTTGGTGTCCTTTCGTTTCCCATTTAAGAGTTAGGGTAGGCCTTGCCCATCTTTTTTTGGTACCCGAGCGTGACCCCCACCCTACGCAAGAACAGCATTTTTCAACCATTTTTTCACTATTCAAATCGTCATCCTTATTCATTATGCATATTTCCACTCAAACCATTTCATAACAGTCTCAACCTCAAAATCCATCAAAAAAGTTACATTTTTCTCATTTTCTATTCCATCATTCTTGTCATTGTTAGGATGCTTGAGTGGAAATAGGAGTATAGGGTGGTTCATATGATATGGTTATTGATGGTAGGATGCATGGGCAAGGTTAAGCTCATTCAAAAAAAAAAAAATCAAAAATAATATTGTTAAAAAAAAAAATATTTTCAAAAATAATATTTTCAAAAAAAATAATATTTTCAAAAAAAATATGTTCAATAAATAATATTTTCAAAAAAACTAATATTTTCAAAAAAAATAATATTTTCAAAAATATTATTCCAAAATTTATGATAAATTATCTTACAATATTTTTATCATAAATTTTGTAGAAATATTATGGGCAAGGTTAGGTTCATTCATTAAAAAAGAAACACAAAAACAAATTTTATAGAGTATAACTATGGTATAATGAAAGGTTATAAAGTTTTACAATGTTAATTTATATTATAATAACATAATATAAATAAACTGTCGCCCCAAAAAAGGGGGAACCCCACCTAATTTCAAGAAAAACATGCTGTTTTGTCGTTGGATTATTATCTATGAATAAACCCCCGTATCTTCATCATAGTCAATTTGATAAAATGTCATAGTTGAAGCCTTCGGTTCTTTAATTTCTTTGTTATTAAGTTTGTTTAAATAAATATTTCTTTTATTTTTATATTCACCATTGGTTCTATCTACTTCTTTACTTTGATAACTGTTTGTTACTGGTTTCTTCTTTTCCATTTGTTGCAAGATTTCTAAAATATTCTTGTTCTGGTCTAAAATCCTGTTCAGTTTTTTGACAATCTTTTCTAATCCTTCATCCATGTAAATATGTATATTATATTATAAAATAAAACTTTTAAAACTAAACTTTTTATTTTACAAAATCATATATCATTATAAGTCAATTCAAAATTAGTTATTGTGTAACTCGTTAAATTATTATTCAATTTACCAATTAAATTACAAATAATAGTTTTTCTAAATTTTGAATATTTATGAAACTTTTCAATATTATCTGTAATATAAATTATTAAACATTTAATACATTCAAACACATTAACAACATTAATGTTACTATTTTTGTAAATATTATTCATTTTTCTCAATGTAATTTCATAAAACTGAATAGCATTTTTATTATCATAATTAGCAATAAATCTTAAAGTATATGAATATATTCTGTTACAATAGAATTTTAAATCTGATTGTTCAAATAAATCAGCATAATTAATAGAATTATAAAACATGTTAAAATCAATTGTGCTATTTCTAAAGTCATTAACAAAATTAATTAATATATCATTTTCGTTATATTCTTCAATAAAATTTATTTAATTTCAATTCTTTTACATCAATGAATTTAATAATATTATTTATAACATCTTGCATTATAAATAATAATAGAAATAATTTTAACTATTATTTTTCATCATTTCGCGTATAGTTTCCTGAGTTTCCTTATCACCATTATCGGATGGTGAGGCATGCCGTCCCCATTTGATAGCAATATTATGAACATCTGTTTCTAAGTTTATACTGTCTTTAGTTTTATCAATATTCATTTTCTTATCATTCTTACTTATTTTGAAACTGGTTGGAATACACGAACATTTACAAGTTCCTTTCTTTTGTATTTCTAATTCATTTTTTAATTCTAATATTTTTTTACACATTGGACAAGCAAACTCAATAACTGATGTTTCTTTAACAATTTCTTCTTTTTCTTCATCAGTTGAAGAAACAACTGGTTCAGTCTTATTCTTTTTCTTTCTTCCCATTTATATTAATATTACATTTTTATTTTTGATATATTGTATCACAAACTTAATTAATTCTAAAACAAAATAACATATTTTTTTAAATCTATTATCAGTTATAACAACTTGTTCTATATTCTCTACTTCATCTATTATATCAATATAATCTGAATAGCTTCTATTCATATAAAATAATAAATATAAAATATTTTCTAAATAACTTTAATATTATTTTATTATGTCAGATGTTCCAATAATAAAGCCAATAAACATAACTGAATATGAATTCAAACAATCTAAATATGAGCACGTGCCAAAATTACCATTTAGAAGTATTATAGTTGCGAGTTCGACGGGAGGCAAAACAGTTTAGTTCAGAATCTTATTTTAAATGTTTATAGAAATTCATTTGCAAGAATATTTATATTTTCCCCCAGCGTTCATAATGACCCAACTTTTACAGAAGTTAAAAAATACATCAGGGATGAATTGCACGTGGATGATGAAAAAGAACAAATTTATTTTGATAATTATAATCCAAGTGATTTAGAAAATGTAATTGAAAGACAGAAGAAAATAATTAATTATATGAAATCTAAAAAGATAAAGAAACTACATTCAATATTAATCGTTATAGACGATCACGCCGACGATCCTAAATTTGTTAGATATAGTAAATTATTACATGGATTATTTACAAGAGGTAGGCATGATGCAGTAAGCGTAATTTGTTCAACACAGAAATATAATGTGTTGGCGCCTATCATTCGTTTAAATGCCAGTTCATTATATATTTTTAGGTTGAAAAATGCAGTGAATTAATGAGTTTTATTGAAGAAAATAGCGCCATTGTTGACAAACAGCAATTATTAGATATGTATCATCAAGCAGTGAATGACGCACCTTATAGTTTCTTCTACGTGAATATGAATGCTAAGAATGTGAATGACATGTTTTTTCTCCGTTTTGAACAGGCATTTCAAATTACAAATGATGAATAAAGATATTCTAATTTAATATAATATAATAATATGCTAATGAAACTGTGTAGATGTGGTGGATTTTATCGTAGAGGTAATTACAATTTTCATACTAATTCTTGGATACATAAACTTTATAAAGTGTTAAAAAGACGACCAACAGACGAGGAATTATTAAGATTTCAAAATAACTTTGTTGATGAAGAAGATTTAATAGATGATATGTGTAGCAATGCCTCAACAAATTTACCAGAAGATGAAATGACAGATTATGATAGTAATTAATAATATTAATGTATGTTAATATTATCAATTTAGAATAAGGAATAGCTACATAAATTTAAGGCAGGAAATTTATAATATGTTTTATCTTTTTTACATTCATTAACTTTTTCTAATTTATTTATTTTTGCTTTCAATGAATTTATTTGTAGAATATCAATTCTTGACATTTCACTTATCGTATTTACATCTATATCTTTTTTTACTTTAATAGCCTCTTCATCATCAATTTCTACTGGTTTTGATTTACTTGAACCCATTATATATAATATTATTTAGATTTTAATTTTTCAAAATTATATTTTTGTTTTTCTTCTCCGTCTTCTTCTTCTTCGTCTTCAGTTGGTGCTGGTATTTCTGTTGGACTTTCAGATGAAGAACTATGAACAGTAATAGGTGGCGAACTATGAACACTAATAGCTTCATTTGATGAATTGCTACTGCTACCTTGTGCATTTCCTGCTGTTACTTGATTAATTAAATCTGCGATATTTATTGTTGTTGCAATTGCGCTATGTG